CACAGCCAAAGCATAAAGAATACGCAAGTTTTGTAATTACATATATTTTTTCCGTTGAAGTTTGGGTGTAAATCTTTCACAAATGTAACAGAAGTTATTTGGTTGATTCTCACACTTTTGATTTGAAATGAAGAATATTATTGTTTTATTATATACTCGTAGGTTCTGAATTTTTCTTAAGATGGATTTTAATTTTGCCGCAAGTAAAAAGTAGGCTTAATGTCTTTCTTGTCAGATATAACATTTTTCTATCATAAACTTACCAATTCTGTTGTTTTTTCGTTGTTGTTTTTAACTTTTGATGAAGATTTATTTTTTCATTACTTACCTTTTATTATTTACACGCGTTTGTAAAACTAAAAAAGCTCGCAAACGTATTGTCACCTAAATTCAAAATAAATTAGGGTTGTATAAATTGTAGAAGAATGAGTATCTTCGAAAAACAACAATAACAGCAAGCAGAAACAGGAGAGTGAATAAAAATAATTAGTGGAAAAAATGAGAGAGATGTAACCCGTACAAATGTGCACGTAAAAGTGACACATGCGTTTCGATAATCTGGTTTGTGGATTATATTTCAACTTTAATTATACTTAATAATGTTCTTTCACTGGTAGTAAACAAATAACTCTTAACTCATGCTCTGAATGCAAATACTGCCAACGAGTTGTCAACCGCTGTAAGAATATTTATTTTGCTTCTTATTCTGCAATCATTGAAAAGTCTTACCTTCATTTTACGGCATGAAATTAAGGCTACCGTTCCGCTCGCTTCAGTCGCGGTAGGTGTTGGCCGGAAATTTCCCGGCTCTTCGCCACCGAGGGAGGGGGGGAGGGAGTCGAACAGGGGCTCACTGACAGCGCTATTTATCAGAACAGCCAATTAGCGCGGACAGACGCAGCTGCCGGCGGGCGCCGCACGCCACCGGGCTAAGTACACTCATTAGCGCCCGGGGGCGGCCAAGTGCCCTGGCGGGGTCTTGCCTGGCTTCACCTGCTCACCCAACCTGGCGCCGACCCCGACGCGACCCTCTATCGCCACCTCGACCGCCACCTTCGCCTTCTCCACCGAAACCAACACAGCCGCGGCCGTCGCCATAACCACCACCACAACAACAATAACAACAAACAACTGCTTCACTACCGCCGCTATCTCCACTACCGTCACCACCGTCACTACCACGACAACTGCTACCACCACGATCATCACCATAACCGCCACCACCACCACCACTGCTACAACGTTTACCACAGCACCGCGATAACCACCATATCGGCCATGGCCACCATCGCCACCACCTCCCAGACACGACCTCCATCGAAACCATCCCCACTGCCACTTTTATCAGCGCCCCTCCCATATCTACCTTCGCAACAATAACCACCATCTCCTGCACTTCTGGCACCGCGGCCCCGTCCGCCACCGCCCCTGTCGCCGCCATCGCCGTTGCCACTGCGGATTATCTCAAAGCGCCCTGGGGGAGGCCGCGCTCGGCAAAGCGACGCGTAATTACCGGCGCCAGGAATGTCGCGCGGGCCGGCGCGGGAAAGGGAAGGCCGATTCTCCGGGGAGGGGCGCGACGCCTTTATCCACGTCACCTGGAATGCGAGGGGCCGGCTTCGCGTTACGAAAGCGTTGCTCGGGCATGTTGCGAATATATTTCTAAAGGCGTGGTGTACCAAAGTGACAATCATCCCCATTATATCTTTTTGGATTATTGTAGGTATTTTCAAATATTTCTATCTTTTAAGATTTATTTCTCTACAAAAAATTAATGGCAACCGCCCTGCTTTTAGACAAAAAGACCATTGTGTTGTGAACATGTGATAGAGTCAGCTTTGTACCTTCTCACTGCAATATAACGTTGCGGTCTATTCAAGGTAACATTTTCAATGTATTTTTCCTTAGCAAACTAGAACTTCCTTCTTTTGAATCGTCTTTCATTCGGTCTTGTCGATTTCATGTCGACACGTCGCGCCGGAGGAGAGGAAAGCATTCTCATGTGGCAAATCTTCGATGAATCTGTCGCTGACAACTCGGAAATGAGTTTTTTCTCCGCTACGCCCCCACGTCGGACTTTCTGACTAGAAAACATTCCGAAGTGATCCTCTTCGATTTTGCTGGATTTTGGATATGTTGCAAGGCACAAAGAAAAAATCTGCCACTATCGCTTTGCCCTCTAGATTCGGTGGTATTCTGCACGCGTTATCGTGACATAGGGGTGCATAACATGGCTAACTCTCACAGTAAACATTTTGTCCATAATGAGAAATTATAGTATATTGTTTTCTGGTGTGTCATCTACTGCAGTTACTTGTCCCGTAAATACTGTACATTGTATATCGGGAGATGATGTCGTTCCTCCTCGATAGAACATGAGGTGCGGCGCCGACATACAGGTTGGCGTCTGGAGGTTCCCCCTTCAAGAAATACCTGAATTGTACGTGTACCATGTTTGGTTGAAATTTCTTTAGATACTTCTAGAACGTAAACGTGCCCGCCGACTTGTATTTCTTCATAAAGAGAAGTTGGATCCGTTTCGTAGAACGTACGGACACAATAACTGGATGGAGAATTTAATTTGTTATTATAGAAAATACCATTTTGGTCGTGGATATTTTAACATTTTTTTAAATAAATAATAATAAAACCTTTCCACCATAAATTATTGCCAAAAACTATTTTTCATTAAAAAAATCACTGTAATCATTTACTGGTTGTTGTCCTCGAGAAACATTTGTTGTGAAAACATATGGGATTTTTAGAATCTTTAATTAAATTGTGTAATTATAATTGTTATGTATTGAAGTTACTATGTTACTGTATTAAGTACCATCTAATAACTGACCCATTAACTGTGTTGGTCGCTAATAACCCAACAACGTTGAAGTGCCCTAAACTAAATCTTATTATCTCTAAGGAATTAATATGACCCTAATATTTCTTTTAAAGAGAAGTACGGTGTATGTTTGTTTGTTTTTTCAAAATGTACGTTCGTTCGAATTTTTTTTTTCTGAAAAACAGAAAGTCCATCTCTTTGTGCCCTCATTTTTGGAGGGTAATATCACCCCTTTAATACGTTTCTCCGTAGGAAGGAAAACATGTGGTATTTGCTTCATCATCCCTTACAGCATATCCAAAATTCAACGACGTCGGAGAGTGACGTCTCCGGATGTTTCCTTGTGAATGCTGTCGCACGGGCGACAGGGACAGCGACGCTTGCGGCATGAGGGGGTACGATAGGCAACCCGCGCGTCTCCTCCGCTTTGCAGAAAGCGCATGTCCCTTCGCGATCTGACAGTTCTCTTGAGTCCCGGAAATGAAAACTTCGAGAGATTGCAAAGCATCTGCAGTCACAATGCTCGTTCTCAATATAATTTTTTATGAAGTCTCAAGCTGTTTAGACCTCATTGATTTAATAAATACCTTTGATTCCTTAGAATCCGGTTTCTCTCAGCCACACGTTTTGATTATTTTTTCGACCAAGTCGATGAACAGCTGATAACCGTCACTAAGTTTAACCATACTAGCCATTCTAAGATAATTGAATACCATTCTCAAATCTAGCTCATCTAATTCTCATTTAATCCTGTGGGAAAACTGGATTGTAAAAAGAATAAATAAATAAATAAAAGAATAAATAAAAGAATATCTAAAAATAAATAAAAGAATAAATAAAACGTATCAGGAAGTTTTAGTTTCGAATGTGTAATAATTAAGCCAATTCCTTTTACATCCAACCCTCTTAATTCTGATTCACATGATGCATGCAGCCACTTTTTAATGAATGAATGATCTCTAATCTCCACATCAAATTATCTGCTCCTTCTTGGGTGAATGGATGTATTAGGTATTAAATAATTCACTATCTACACATGTATGCATTTTTATACGATCATTCGCCAAAGTAAAGTACCTTACAAATTTCGGATATATAATTTTAATAGCTAATACTCTACTTTCAAGGATAAGTGTGTCAAAGAGAATTAGATTTTTCTATCTGTTCATCTAAATTTCCTTTGGGCCCCGAAATAATTAGAACAAACAAACATTACGTGTTAAACGCAAACGCTACGTTTGGATATGCTGTTACAAAAAAATAATTTACAAGTGTACAGGATTTTCCAAACCAGACAAATTTCGCCTTGCAATTCTGCAAAAATCTTGAAAATATTAGCCTTGCAATTCGCATCATTTTTATATCATGATGGTTTTGTCCACAGTTGATTACTTTGAATGATACATGAAGAATATTATATCTTAACACACATTCACGACATATCTAGATTGAAAATAAGTACCTTTTTTTATTGTAGTACTGGGATGTTACAATTAGATTACTAGCTGGACAGTTTTCAAATATCCTTCACTTCAAGCAGCGTCCATACTCTTGGCGCAATACGTGAGCTTTAAATGGTGGCGTGAGGTTAGACAACGGGACAAGCGCAGAATCGACTAAATCTGGGATTTTCAATTGAACGAAGAGATCCAGACGTCTCTACCGCATTTCAGGATATGTTTAATAATAGCTAGAAAGGGCTGGATCCTTAGTTTAGTTGTCCTAGTGGTTTTTGCCTCTGTAGAACAGATATTATTCAATTTTTTTTCTCTCGCGACCGACTTTTTGGTCCCTATTTATATAATCGGTGAATGTTTAATGTAAAATTCCGTTTTTATAAAAAAATAATATTAACTCGCTATGTGGCGTTATTTGTCCAAAACGAGATTCTAAATTATTACTGAAACATTTCTGGTTGTGTGAAATTGAGTTACAACGGAACACGCGCACAGTTCGTCCTAGGTGGTTCAGGTTATCAAACCCGCTTTGATTTTTGACCGTTGCCTCTCGCTGACAAAGACGTCGCCCAGTTGCGCTTATCCCGTTGGTCGACCGTTGCAATAGTCTGCCACTGATGGGAGAGGCCCGTCGTGCCACTGTCCGGCCGGACACGCCGAAGCGACGACTGACCGGGCGGGGGCGGGGCGCTGGGCGTGCGCAGCGCCGCTGCTGCGCGAGAAGCTCATGTCCGGGAAGCTGCTGCTGGGCTGGCGCCACGAGCTGACGGCGGAGGTGGCGCGGCGCCGCTACCTGGGCGCGCAGGACGCGCTGCGCGCCGCCCACGCCGACGTCGCCAACCTCTTCTTCAGCGAGTTCGCCCAGCAGAGCAGCGAGGCCGACACTGAGGAGCCGGGTGAGTCACCTCACAGCATACCGTCTTTGCTTTGTACGCCATTTTACGCCCAGCCGATTTACTTATTTAATTTCTGCCGAAAGTTTCCCGCATCATTATATTTTTTTATATATTTCTGCATCTCCGTTCTATTTTTTGTTATTCCTAAAAACTGTTCCTCTTTGATTTTTGATGGGTCATATTCTCTTATTCCATGTGCAAGAAATTATTCTTTGTTAGTATTTCACTTTAGAATTAAGAACAAACTAAAGTTTTTGTTGAAGTAGTAAGATCAGTATCTTTAAGACAGAATCTCTTCGGTCACGGGCGCCGCATTTTTAGACGTTCGATATTTTAGCCTGCCCTGCCAAATTTTATTTAAAAAATCATCTTCATTCTTTTTTCTACAATGGTCAATGAGAATTTTATTGAACTAGAAGAATAAAACTTCTCATTAGTTCTCAACTTTTATTGTTGCTTTATTTAAAGTATCTCAATTATTAGAAGTAATGACAGGGAAGAGGTCTATAGAAAATTGAAATATTTTTGTTGGCATTAATGTTTTACTTAAGAAGATATTTTTTATTATTTTATTTTTAATATTCATGAAAGGCAGACCAAAAATCGTCCACTTAAAATTTTCAAATAAAAGTACTTAATGCTCATTTTAGTATCCGGAAATTAATACTAACCATTGGCCTGAAGCGGCAAACATTCTGCTGAACAAAATCACTTTAAATGGTTTTCCATAAGGTAGATGCTCTAGTATAACGTTGGAATAAATTAAATATTGTAAGGAATCAATCTTAACGAATACTGCAATTACATAGTAATATACATAGTTCAACTCTATATACAATTCAACAGGGTATTACTTATATCAAGAATATGAAAACGTTGCTGTTTCATAATTCAAGACGCGAATTGCAAATATCTAATGACGAACGATTTCTTCCTTGAAGCCTAGCTATCGCATGACGCCGTTTGTATCATAAAAAGTGACGTTATATGAGAATCCATTTGTTATACGCAATGTGAAAAATCAAAAGCAACTATTTGCATTTTCACAAAAACTCGAAAATGATTCATTGTGGATTTTCCTCGAGTTCCTGGGTATCTAACAAAACAATAAACACCTCTCACATGGCTGAATGCTCACACATTATATGGCGTTACAAATATCGCCTACTCTAATGAAAAAGTCTAAGAATTTTTGGTTCACGTCGTATTGACAAGAAAGAAAAAAAAATAATTTAAAAACACAGTTTACATCCTTTAACTTTTTTGCCAAATATATCGTCATCTCTTTGAGTTTGTTTTGTTTTTTAATTGTTGTAATTGACCTTATGTTTTATTGGTTTTTGCGTATTTTATGATTGGAGACTAAATGACTTCACTTTAATTTTGTTTACTGAATCCATACGACATTTTTGAAGAAAGATCTATTCTACTTGTTGGAATGGAAGGACGTCTCAGTAATGGCAAGATCTCTATCGATGATACCAGAAGTGCTGAACCGCGAAGAAGAAAACATTTCACGGTGCGTCCGTTAAAATTTTGACTTGCGGCTGTGACCTCTCTATAACTTTCAACTGTAGCCTGGGCTTATTTTTTACAGTTATCACTGCTTCTTTCATTTTTGCTTTGTTCTATTGTTTCCGCCGTGGCGTATGTGGCAACATATCCCTCTCAAAACAAGGTTTCAAATATTGCAGAGTAGGCGATATTAAGAACTTCCTAGTGGACAACATTCGGATCATCTAACTCCTACAATGTGGTGAGGTTAAACGGAATTTACAAGACACTCAAAAAAGTATTCATTTAAATGGTTGCTTCATTTTTAAACTAGTAACCATAAATTGTCATCGCGATTGCGATTATCATACGACGTGCTAAACGGAAAAATATAGAAGTACGCCCTTATGGATTAATTAAAAATAAACTAAATTTTAAAAAATACAAGCCAACAAGATGATGTATGTTACGTCATCCAACTTTCAACCGTAGCGACCAGCGACATAACACATTATCTGTCGATGTGAGACGGTACTCGAGACATCTACTCTAATATTATGTACAATCTCACAACAGTGTACATATTAAGTTCTTCTAACAGCTCAGGTTTGCGTAGAGCCAGCACTGCCGCTGACTTCGTAGCGCCTCTGAACGGTAGGTCCTTGGGTTCGAGTCTGATGGTGGCAGATTTTCGAAACTAGCTACATAGCTAGGTCAAGTTCAGCCGCTGACTGGAGAAGAATTTAGATACAGGCTGCTTTGATCAGACGTTTTCCATGGTTTCTTCCATCATTACCAGGCGAATGGTGGAGCAGTATCCTCTCAAACGAGCAACGGATCTTTCCTACCTGTTTCTTGTTCTATACTCTCCCCTTACACACGCATGCACTACACTACCATATGTGACGAGAGGTCAACGGGAACTTAAAGCTTTTCCTCGCTGGCAGGTTGGCCCTACTGGGTGAGATACACGGAGAAGGGAATTCTAAGCATATCGACGTGTAGATCAGCGCCATTCTGTGCGGAAGGAAATCTAGCATCTCCCGGGATAAATCTTTCAGTACACTAGCGGGGCTAATGGTGATAGCAGTAAATGTGTCCGAAAACAATATCAATCAATTAAGTCATTCATACCAATGTGGTATATATCAAATTTTATTAGCAGAAAAATATTGTGTTTTATTTTGATACGCTTCTCAGATAATTATCCGATTGTATTTCCGGATATTTGTACTCTGTTAATGGTTATTGATTATTCCTGTATTATTTTCCGAGGTAAGACGCACTCGCAAACATTAGCTGTGTTGTTTCTAGTTAATCCAATAACATAGTAAGAACTTGATACTGTTGCAAAATATAATAATAAATATGGAAATAGCTCCTAAAACTGTTTTGGATATTTTTATTTTCATAGTTATTAATAATTCAGTAATACGTGTAGAACATTAACAATCTTGTTATAGATAGTCCATCAATTCTGCAATTTTCTTCAGTCAAAATTACCGATTTTTTATCCATATAGATTGTTGCTTCATAAGTTTCTTTGTTTTTTTAATTTTTTTTATTTCAATCCCAAGAAAAACAGTAGTACAATATATATCGTGCATATTCCAATATAATCGTGAAAGCACCGACTGCTGTTGCTCCGTTATTTATTCATTAGAAACGCTTTTAATGTGAAAATGTGTGCGTAAACGTGCTCGCCGTCGCTAACAATAAGCAACGTTCTTAGCTAACATACTTTTGAAACCTGTTGCTTTCGTGCTCGGATTCGCCCTCGGTAACTCTGACGACGCACGAGGCACTCTCTGGACGAGAACCGGCGTACTTACGTCGACACGTGCGCCTGCGGTGGCGCCGCCAGGAACTGCGAGAGAAAGCAGCAAAGCGAGCGGAAAATATGAATAGGTTCCGTGGCCGACAAGGGAGAATGCTGTATCCCTGCTTTGTGCAGGATGCTTCTATCTTTTGATTTAGCTTAGAACTTTACCTTTTACTGAAACTAATTAAAGTAGTCCTCAGGTTGATACATAAATACCACAGGTAATTAGTGGTATACGTCTCAGATCCACACAATTTACCTCTGGTGAATTTGTCTTACATACTTCTGAATTCTAAATCTAGATCCTTTTGAAACAGGTAGAAAAGCAAGTTCTCGTTTGTTATCTTTTATCAGATTTGAAGTATCGATTACTTTAAATGGTTCAGGAGTTTACGTACAATTTTAATATATTCCACGATAGTTGTACACGGTTAAGTTTTTCTATGTGCTTAAGAAGCCTTCCATATAGTCTTAAATTTCGGTCAAACTGATTAAAAGAGTGGCATGTAACTGGAAAAAAATAATGTATGGTTACATTCAATGACTTTGATGACCGTACCCTAAACATTATTCTTACAGAGATCTTATTTTGACCTCCCCAAAATCTGAGGAAATTACAATATTTCTTATGTTTTTAATGCCATTAAGTTTATTTTTGATAAAATTAAACAAGTAATAACACACTGCATTAGAATTTTTAGAAGACTCATTTTTGAAAAAGTAAAAGAAGGCGCTGCTTCCATCTTTGTGACAATGCAGGAGCATGTAACCATGGTAGGGAAAATTTTGTGCCTAGTCAAATTCAATTACAAGAAGGTTCTTGTCAGTTTTAGCTTTTGTTATACTTTAATTTTTAATAATTTTCAAAGCTTTATTATCTTTTCATTTATGCAAGTAATTTTATTTACAACCATTACTTGGATCTGTTTTGAGAATTACATCATATTGTGTGCAATAGACACACACGAGTACACATCAGTTCTAGTTTTGTGAGACATTATTTTGATTATGTTCTCTAAAGAATTTATGATAAACATGTTAATTTTTTGAACTCTCGAAATTATTGTCTTGGCAATTTTTGTTGTGTAATTATTGTTTCATTAAAACTTATTTTGTAGGGAAATGATATATTTTCTTGTGAATTTGATGGAAATGTTGTGGACGTAGTCAGTTGTTACATTATAGTTTTTGTGTTTCTCATAATCTAAACATGAAATATTCTTGTTGTAGCTCCATCCCCAACAGAAAATAAGGAGACACCGTTTCAGACTACTATACCTCCGGACGATGTTACCTACAGCTTGCGCCACGTGGAGGAGTCCTGGATTCATCTCCTCAAGGCCGGTAGGTGCCCATTTGCAATCTTAAAGAGAAGTCCCTCCCTTGTTGAAAAGGGTCCACTGAGACAAAAAATTCCAATAACATGTTCATATTAAAGAATTAGTTAAAAATCTGTGGTTGCACTACCAGTTAGTGCAATGAATGGAAAGACAGTCCAAAACATTTGATCTCTAAAGATGGTAAGATGTTGTGACTTGATCAATTGAAACTCATAGATATTGGCATGATTTCTCACGTCACGTCATAATATCATCTTGTTTTACTATTCTATAACGCGGACCGGTGTCCTTTGTGCTTAGCATTTCAGTGTGACTGGAGACTCCGTTAGTGTTGGCGTTTTCGCATACCTTCTCTCGTTGATATCTAGGGTAGTTAGTACCCGCTCGAAGTTAACTAAACAAGAGATATTGCTGAATCGTAGGTGTCGCTATATTGCTGAATAGTGAAACTACGCACTGATGTGCGAGTCTTTTTATTGTCGATAAGATCCAGCAATAAACCCGTAGTTTAAGGATTACTTAGTATATTCTAGTGGCCAGGGCGTTAATGCGGCAGCACCGCCTCTCCGGAGGCAGAGCCGCTAAGATTAATAAGATTGGAACACCGTGCCTTTCATTTATAAACATGTTTATGCATTCAAATTTTATCAACAAAACTGGCCGTTGATTACAAATTCTCATCCTCAACTTAAACTTAATAAACGCAATTCGCATGAGCATGTTCGCAAGTAACCCCCATGCGACCACTGTGGTTGCAGGGGACAGCGGCCGGCTGAAGCAGTTGACGGTGTGCAACTTCGATTTCCTGCTGGCGGCCGTTCAGACGGTGTCCGTGAGCTACCTGCGCTGCGTGCTGGAGCACGTGCGCTGCTACCTGCTGGACCGCGACCTGGAGCTCGTCTACTACACCGTTCGCAAGTCTAGCGATGTGCTCACCCGGGACCCTCTGCAGCTTGGGGCGCAGGTCATCTGCTGGCTGCGACCCGTCGCCGGTAAGGTGTCACTGGTGTTCCATCAGCATTTTTTCTTCTACTCTCTCCCCTTTACGAACTGTTATTTTTTTTTTTTTTTTTTGGTCGAAAATGTACACCTATTAAGCAGTGTATGCTTGTTAGGACACTAGTACCGACTAGCAAAGCAATAGATTGATTTACACCAACTGTAAAGTAGAGGTTTTTGACGGAGCCATTTTACTTTCTGGCCCTCTACTTACGTATGTACTAAAGATAAAGTATTATAATGCAGCAGCGGAAAGTGTGGATGAACTCCCCGAATTTTCAAAAATTGTAATTTTTTTAATTTTCTTCGGCGTCTTCCTACAACTGCAATAATAAAGGTAGACACTTTTTCCTTGATAATATCAATTCTTCAAAGCTTTATATTAAAATTAAGCCAAGTTCAAATTTTCTAAAATACGAGTAGTTGTTGCATAACTTTATGTGAAATATAATTCCAAAAATAAGATTTTCTCAAAAACTGCTCCATGTTTATTCTTTCCTTTTTTCTCAAATAGAGCAAAATACGCGTACAAATGGCTTAAGCTCCAATTTCGGCGGATGCTCTGCATATTCCAAAATTGAAAAACTATAATAATGTTGATAGAGCTTCTCCAAAATTGTATTCCCCTATCGACCTGAATGGACTCGAAACTTTCGGTGTTTCAAAGGGATATTTTGATTTTTCATGGTACTTTATATGAAACTTCAAACATCGTTTTAGAAATTTATGCAATTATTAAAAAAAATATTATTTTCTCAAAAATTGCACCAAACTTTCTCAGTATTTCAAAATCCATGCATGTAACAAAGGACGGTAAAATATGGTGCACGTCCTATTTTGGCGAACTCTATACTTTCGAAAATTGTAAAAGTTGTCTGTTGAAAATATTGGGTTGAAACAATTACATTTTTAAGCAGCGGTCAGAGTTCAAATCTTACCGTACGGTTATGTCTGACGGCGAGTTAAGTCGCAGTACCTGAGTTCGAGTCTCGTTGCAGAATATCTCGATACTTATTGAGCGTTCTTTCTTGCTTTGCCCCACAATTTTGACATAATATGCAGATGTGATCCTCTATGCATTTAAATTCCCTCTCTTACAATACGAAGAATGTTCAATTTTAATTATTTATTCATTGATAGTGTGTGCGTTATTTATGTACGAATTATTGTTATACTTCTAATAAAACAATGAATTCATTAAATGTTGCAGATGATAGCAGTGATCTCATAAGTCACATGATAACATCAGCGATGGCGTGGTGTGATGGCTTTACGGCACCATTGCTAGTCCCCCTCAACGGTTGGCTTCAACCCCCTTTGCCTCTTCAAATAAAAAGTAAAAACAGCTAACATTAATACATTATGTGGTAAATCATAAGTTTATGGTGCCTCACTTCATTTGATTCATTGATTCGAATTGATTCATTTTAATCATTGAACTGATTATTTCAGTTTGTATTGTTCACGCTACAAATATAATTTTATAACCGACTCAGTTTTACCACCAACTCAATTTCACACCAAGTAGTCCGGACTACTATGACGTATCCAACGTGCTGCTTTCGCGAGGGCACTTTGGCTCTCACTCTCGCGACTTGGTCGCGCATCCGCTTTCGCTCCGGCACTCACTTTGTTTAATAAACCTCGTCCACTTTTAAGAGAATTTCTTTTAAAGGGTATAATATTGCGACCGACCTGCACTTCCAATTCCCGAGAAAAAAATGAATCATTAAAGGAACCAGACGAATCGTGACACCATAAACTTCTGACCAACCCATTATGTTGGTATGCATAATCATGTCTTAAAATATTACCCAATTACAAGAATTTCAATGTTCATTTAGGCCTTCATTGCCCAGCCGGTGTTAAACTCATAGAACCTACTCCATCTGGACAGCACGTTGTGGTTGTCCCTCAGACAGGGGACCCACAGCTTTGGCACGTTATGTCAAACACCTTAACCCATACTTTTAAAGGTAGGTGCTTAATATCGCACTGTGAAGATTCAAAAATTAATTAGCAAATCTTTGTCAGTTTCTAATTTGATTATCCTTCACCAAAGTAATATATGTTTTCTTAACGTTTCTAGGTCATAGTGGGCCAGTTCTGTGTTTAGCAATCACTAAACAGTCTCAGTATCTTCTTACTGGATCTGATGATATTTCAATAATAGTTTGGGATCTCAAAAATTTGAACCTGAAACTTCGAATATAGTAAGTATGCAGAAATACAAACCTTGTCCGAATTTGACTCTTTCTTCTTGCTTTCGGTTTTAAATTCTTGTTTCATTTCTTTAACTACTTTGATGAAATAAACAATTAAAGTCTAAAGTGTAACATACGATAGATATGTAATTTATAACTAATAAGGTACATAGGACTACTCTACGTTAACATAAAAGAGATAAATATGTTTATTAGAATTTTCTTTCTTTTCAGTGAGCACATTGCCCCAGTTCTAAGCTTGACTCCCGCATTGGGTAACTCAGTGATTGTGTCAGGAGGTGAAGATTCTCGAATCATCATCACTTCCTTGCTGACTGGTGATGTGGTGATGAAGATTGACCATCATCGTGGCCCCGTCACATCAGTCAGGGTCAACACAGCGGGGGATGTGCTCGTGTCTGGTCCGCCGACATCTTGTTGCTTCTCCTCTACTCCTTGCTTTCTCTCTCAGTCTCTAGCCTAGCAACACTCTAGCATCTACCCCACCCTAGCGTTTCGCTTCTTGTGTTATTCTTGAAGGGTAGGCACTGCTATACACAGGAGCTTCTTTCAATTGCTCTGTATTCTATCCTTCCATTTCTCTCTCTTTATGGTGTCACAAATTTCAAAATAATCTTCCATTAGAAATTTGGAATAATATGTAATACTATAAAATAATTAATCTTTATATTAATGATAAGCAGTTACTTTGTTTGCACAAGTATATTTTATGTGTTTTGGGTAAAATATAACCCGTTGAAATATTAGCCCGCTATAATCTCTAGGTGTAGTACGTTTTTAGATGTATACTAGCAGGCAATGAATATATTTAACTAATTGAAAAGTTATTTTGAAATTGTGATCATGCTTTGTCTACCAGCACTGCATAACCAGATAGTTTTAGTTTTTAATGTCAACTAATGAAAAAGTGGTGTGTAATATTATTTCTTTTTAGAGCCACAAATGCTCGTGAAATATTTCTATACTATTTATTGAATAAACCAGTGGTTAATTATCTTCTAAATATTTCATATTTGATTTAATGGCTTCTGGCAGAACATACACAACAGCAGGTGCAAAAACAGTCGCACACAACAGCAACTAAACCATTAAAATCACGTGTCTTCTTTGTTAGATACCCAATCCGAAACCGCTTTTAGGATTACTTCAGAATGGCATATTTTCTTTAGTCCTCAGAGATCTTTTCACGTCATATCGTTAAATATTTACCATCCCGAAGGCTATGAGCATGGATTTTCAACTGATTTCTTGTTGAAAAGTACTTTTTCAACATTAGGGGCTATCTCACGCCAACTTTCTTTCCTGGCCAGCAATCACCTTATGACGCTATCAGAAGTTTTTGCCCCAGCAACCTTTAGCGATTTTCTGTGGACTGTTCATCCAAAGCCCACTAGTGTGTCTAAAAGTCGTGGCAGTTTAGGGGAGATCGCAAATGAGTCGTCATTGAAGTGTTGGTCACCGATCATTCCCGCGACATTTCATTGCTTTATCAACTAAAAAACGCCCCCCACATTACTCGTAACGAAATGCAACATTGCAATAGCTCGTTGTTGGTCATACAAAACAATATTACAAATTTGCCTTAAAGAATTGCTGAAGGTTATATGTTATTTACGAATCTTACTAACTCGCGAATTACCCGTTTAATTTTCTCATTATCCAAATATGTGTGGCTAAAGTCCGAAGTACAATAGTTTCGAAACATATGCAGCGGACTTCAGCCGGGCGAATGTTAACTATGTGGCTAGAGTAAGTGAAGTACGTTACGGTGATGAAGAATAACAAAAATTATATGGTTAATAGAGATCAGGCGATTGGTGGGAAGTTTCCAGGGCTAATGAGAGACTAGATGTGAAGTTCGGAGTTCTACTGCGGCAGATGTAAATTTCTTTTCACTTGATACTATCTAAACTACCTCAGTACCGAAATTGACAATTCGCTATGCATTTCCGGGTTAGGCTCGAGGCACCGACCTTCAGGATTTAAATAAAACAACCTTGAGTCTGGGAAACACATAGTTTCTAACCCCTTTTTTTCGGAACTACCGTTCGCGAACACACAAGACGCCTCACACTCGGAAGATCACTTTATTTTAGACAGAGATCTGTGAAGGATATTCTAAAGTCCGTGCCTAGGATCGATCATTATATTACACCCATTGTAACACTTGTTAAGCGGGCCATCTGGTATTGACGAGCTTCCTCTCTCTCAAGTAGACAAAGAGGATTCGGAGGACGTTGCGTGCGTCATCAGTAAATCTGATCGCACTGCTAAGTTGAAAGCACATGCCATGCGGCTAACAACTAGTGTTTGCAGTAGTGATTCTCCTGTCGCGTTTCTTCAACTCATCCACTACCATTTTGGTTGCATCAGACTTCCAGTCCTGCAACTATATTATCTGTCGAATAGATCTCCTCCAAGCCAAATCACTATCAGCAGACTTGTTTTCATTTACTTTTCTAGTAGGTTCCCGGCCGCGGCAAAAATAGCGGAGTCTGTAGAAGATAGTATATTTTAGCAATGGTGAAATATACGAAATTGTTACCAAACGCTGAAAAAAATAGTAATTGTATGTTTGATGGTCGGTGTAGAATATTGTGACGTCGCGTTGGTAATTTAATTTTAATGTTACCCTACACTTGGGGCAGCTATATCGACGCCTTGTTAGTACGCCAACTAGCTCAGGTCCGGCGGGATACCTTTTTCTTATTAGAATGGAATGGGGCGTCGTCGCTCAATATAAACACAAGGAAACACTTGTTCAAATAAGAATTTAAACATAATTGTTATTTTTGTTCTTTAAGATTTTGAAAAAAAAAACATGAAACGTGGCGAGTTAGTTATCAATATTGAAATAAATTTGCGATGAAATGATCACATTACTAAAAAAATATTTTACTTGAATTCATATTACTTCATAAAGTATTATCTTTGCTACAACTCATCCTGGTAACCGAATACTCAGAAAACTCAACGATTTTAGTTACTCGAACAAGGTCGGCAAACATTTCTTTGACTTTATCCGTGCCTCCTTATACGACGATTCTACGGTGGTTTACCACGGCTATTGTCTTTGATTTTTCATTATTACTCTTCGGTTTCTAATCCCGCAAAACCCGTAAATCCCGTAAAACAATATTTTTGAAGGTTTTCATTCTGCGATAAATTGCAAAATCACGTACAAAGAGCGAAATGGCCATGAATCTAAGTTGTAATTGCTAAATTGCGTTTTATAGTTTTCTCTGTATTCGCACTCGACTAAGCACACGACTATCTAACTAAGCATCTAACTAACTATCTAACTAAGCACGCGACATCGTAAACAACACGTCGATGCTTGAAAACATTTAATTTGAGAGTGGTCGCGTTTAATAATTGATAATTAAGGTTTAGCTGATAAAACAAAGTAAAAAGTAATAACAATTAAAAAAAACTGATCCTGAAAACCAGAGCCCTCTGGGTTGTCTCGAGGCTCTTAGCTTCCTCAGTGCGCTGCACGGCATGCACGCGTTTCTTCTTACGCGTCATACGCTTTTATAGTTGGTTGAAGTTCACAAATGGCGAAATATTAAATAAGTTTCCCTTCGTGATTTTAATGGGGAAATCTGAAATGAATCATTTTTTTCATTTCAAAGAGTCCTCCCTCAATAACAACTTTCTCAACAAATGCTAAAATACTAAATCTTAATTTTAATCCTATAAAATGATAGGCCTTGTTTAGAAAATACGATATTATGCTAAATTTTACCATCACTAACGATGGTAAATATGATATGTCCTCACCCTGCCCACAAGAAAGAGTCTGTTTCTTCCATCGCTTAGGGAAGGAACCCCCTTTTAGACAGCTGTTTAGACTTGCTATGACTTCTTATATTAATATTCGAATATATAAATTTTCTTCATACATACCCTTACTTAATAATATACATAGGGTCCCCTTCATATCCTTGCCTAGTAATAATTTCGTAATCATTAGGTAAGCCATAAAATTGTCTCATAAATAACTTCACGAGTTGAAACATCTTTTGATCAATAAAACATGTAGTAGAAGTTTTTTAGTGTATTTTTATGAATTTATTTTAGTAATTGCCTTGTCATTTCATTATCCATAGTTTAGGACTCTCAAAAGTGAAATGTGGGAAATTTTCTGCTGACATTTATGACATTCACAAAATTTTGATTATCCTACTAAAGTGATAAATTAACAATAATTTTTGTCTTTCATGATCTGATTATAATTATGAAGTTACATCATTCAATTTTGTTTACTTGTTGCAGGATCATTGGATGCCACTGTCTGCCTATGGTCTTTGGAGAATTTCAATTTGCTTAACACAATCAATCTGCCCTCCCCCGTGTCAATGTTGGATGTATCAAATGATTCAGTGTTCCTACTTGCGGCTTGTGAAGACAATCAACTGTATTTACGTTCTTTAGCTACTGGGACTGAAATCCACAGCTTAAGAGGTCACAAAGCAGAGGTAAAATATCAAAATTGATCAGCTTATTCAACATATTTACCATAGATATGATTGTAAAAGAAGCTTGGGTGAGTGAGAACATTTTTACAAGTGACATAGTACATAGTTAATCAAGTAACAAAAGAGAAACCTATTTGAACCATTGCAATTTATGTTTTTATATTTTTAACAAGTGAACATTTCCATCTGAAAAATATCACCAGCCTCTAAATAAAAATGAAATATCAGGACCTAAGGGGAACTGCAATGTTTTCCAGCCAAATCTGCTGTTTACTTTCTAAAAGAAATATTCCCCCTCGGAATTTTTAGCAGATCATTATTTTAACATTACTATAAATACTGCATTTACCCTAATATAAGCAGATTCTGAATATAAGGTGACCTTACAATTTTGAAGAGGCCTTTTGATTTTTTTACTAATTCTTACTTTTTAGTGAAAATATAATTGCAAATTGTCTAATTGATTAGAAAATTGTCTTGTTTGAGTATTTTATTAGAAAACATTATTTTGCAAAATAGATGCTAATAGTCTCTTAATCTTAAAACAGTATATTATCCTTACAATATGAATTTGTAAGCAAAGCGAAGCCTAGGAAGAAGTTTCGAAATAACCAAGAAGGGACTGTAAATTAAATTTCTTTCTTTTCTCAACAAAGAAATAAAATAAAATATAGTGCAAACTAATTGAATAATTATGTATGATGTTTATTAGGTACGCTCTTTGTGTCTGGCTCAAGACAATTGTCGAGCTGTGGTTGGTGGTTCTGATGGCAAAATTTATATATTTGATATGCATAGTGGACGTCTTAGCAGAACCCTTACTAGTCATGCTACTGAAGTTACTGGTGTCAAAGTTACAGAGAAGGATGATTTTCTTCTTAGTGGAGGTATCATTAATAACAATAAATAATGACATGTCTTACCTATTATATTACGTCACTTTGTAAACTGCTCTGCTATTTCTTCAAGGGGGAAATCGCATTACTTTTTGGAGTTTCCGGCGTGATGATGCTACTGGTGCCGTATTGCCCAGCTCAATAAATAACAATCGCAAAACTTCACAGCAGTGTCCACAACCTCATACTGCAGCTATTACATGTCTTGATATATCTCGTGATGGAACAATGGCTGTCACAGGTGAAATTTTAACTTTTTGTGTCCTTGTCACATACATAAATATTTGCAAAAAGTTGTTATGTAGCATCAATACTATTTAATAGGCCTACTCATATCTCTCTGTCTCTCTAATGTCTCTTTCAGGATCTGTGGACAGTTTGGTCAATATTTGGCAGTTGAATACTCATGAATTGTATTCCACTCTAGAAGGTCATTATGCTTCAGTTACTTGTGTAGCATTTTCTCCAAATGGCCTGTTTGCTGTCTCTGGTTCGGAAGATAAATCAGCTCGTGTTTGGGGTCTTACTCTTGGTCTTGTTGTCTCAACATTTAAGGTAAATTTCCATAATGTTTATCATAGTATTAAAAGATCATTCACTTACCATTCTCCACTCTCCAATCACATGACCTTTCTTCTAATAATCATAATAATTTACAAACTTAAATTCATGTTCAAGTTTTCTTTGTATCGAGATACAGAAGTTATTTTTCTCTTTGCCTTTCACTTGCTCTCAAGACGAAGTGAAGAAGATTCTGGCTGAAGAATATTAGAAACTAGTAATGAAAGTATTCACTTTCAGGGCCACCAAGCAACAGTTACAGCTGTTGCAGCAATGCAAGATAGCCGTCGTGTGGTTTCAAGTGACCGTCAAGGTGTTCTGGCTGTTTGGCTTGCAGACAATGCCACTCTGCTTCACTCTTGTATTGGTCCTGATAAATCTTTGGCAGTTACAAACAACATGAAATATGCTGTGTGTGGAAATGGAGATAACAGGTTAGAAGTAATTCGTAAAAAAAATAATTCCTTTAAATAACTTTTACATACTACCTGCTTATTTTGTTTGCTATTTATTGTTTTAGTCTTCGAATTTGGTCTGTAAATCGGGATGAGGAACGCTACACTGTTTCTCATAGTGAAGAAATAACTTGCTTTGTGTTGACAATGGACTCACAGCATGTTATCACTGGTTCTCGAGACATGTCATTAAAAGTATGGCAAGTTGCTGGTGGAAAGCTAGCTCAGGTATTAGATGTCAATTATAGCAGGTAGGAGTAGTTTCAAGTTAATATCAGATTTACTCCTACATGATACTTTTTAACAGGTGCTTGTTGGACATTCTGACCATGTAACCTGTGTGGCAGTATCTATATTGAATAAATCACTGGTTGTATCAGGCTCAAGAGATGCGAATCTTATTGTGTGGGATATCAATACTGGAAATGATATCCATGTTCTCACTGGTCATTTAGGTTACGTCACATGTGTCAAAGTGGCTGGAGATGGCAGTTTAGCTGTTTCAGGTGAGTAGTCTTTAATCCTTAATTAAAAGTAAATGTCTGACTGTGAGACCATAATATTTTATCTCAAAAATTCTCTATTTCTAGGTTCTGAAGACAAAAGCATTCTTGTATGGGATACAAAGCGGGGACAGTTGCTTTCTTCTCTTCAACTTCATGTCCCAATTTTAAATCTTGAAATGTCGACTGATGCATCTCGCATTACTGTTCATTTATTGGAGAACAGACATTTGCCTATAATTTGTTTACATAACACACCAGCAACATATGTCAAAATACCTGTTTATGTTGCTCCAGCTAAGGAAGTTGAAGGTAATAAAAAAAATTGTATTTCTTAATGTTTAATGCAAGGAAAATTTGGTGTATCTGTAATATTTTAAGATTTCTGTTTATTAATAAGGGTATGTTTTATTTTATATTTGATACTAACGCAAAATCTCCCATCTTCTCAAACTATCTTTCAAATAGAATGTAAACATATGGAGTATCATGATAAAAAATGCTATGAGGGCAGTTTGCAAAACAGACAAAAATGATTGAGAGAGGTAGTTCATGTAAAATAAACATTCTCATTACGTTTTTGGTAATAATTACTATATCTTGAAATTATTGTAGTAATCTGCATATGTCTATGAATTCATTCATTACTCACCATTAGTACTTTTCTAAATCACCTTTCAGAGCAAGTATAGTGACATTTTATGTTTTGGTTTACTGATAGGGAACTGACCATTTTTTATGAACTGAATTCTTCCAAAATATTCTAAGAAAATTCTTTAAAAATTTGTTTTTGGGTGTTTTAAATTTTTTTTAAAGAATGTGTGTGCATATGTGTGTGTGTGTGTTTACACAGGTGATCAATAGATGATTTGATTCCTCTCTGGTGGAGAGGTATCAGAGCCAGATTCTCAGAGAATATTCTTTATGTATACTATAATCACATTTTTTGGGGGTTTCTGAGCACCAACACTAGTGAATTGTTGTGACTGCTTTTCTGGCAAAACTTGAATCATAAAATTTGATTCATACAATTGATAATTAAAACTAATTTTCTAATTAAACATTGTTTTATATAGTTTTTCTGCAGATATTTGTTCATGTAACTTTCTATGCTCATGAATTAATGAGCCAGGCAACTATGCCTGTATTATTTTAAAATTACTTTTCAGTACAAACTTGCTTTGCAAATAAACATTTTTAGCAAGATAAGATCTGTCACACTAGTTATTAATATCAAACTAAATAGATGCTCTCATTAATCAAAAGTTTATTTGAACAATGGCCTTTATAATATTCCAAAAATTTTAACGTAATTTTAAAATAAGTTCCTTTTATTAAAGTCAAGAAAAGAGAGAGGGATTGAAATGGAAAGTTTATCTCAGGGAAAGAGTATGTGTTATAAATTCTTACAAAATTTACAAATGGGAGCAATATTAAAAATTCTTAATTTTGCAAATTTAGTTTTTGAATGTCTCTTACGGGTAATTACTTTCTATTTGTTCTCTACATCTCACATTACACTTTTTCATTCCTTGTACAATAAATACATGCTTTGTAAAAGGCTAACATGACCTTTTAAATGCTAATATACTCACAGATCTTTGTGTAAAATACTATTAAATGTGTGTAGATTTAAGACCATCTGCACCTAAACGACCTATGAGAAGACTCTTGAAGAAAGAAGTATCATTGGATACTTACACTTGGCAGAAGAAATATGGTCATCTTACTTCCTCTATCATGATGGCAACTGTAGAGGAAAGACTGAAACGCCGTTTTTCTGTCTCTGCAAGTATGGAAGAAATTTCGAAAATTCCATCTAAAGGGAGCATGGGCTCCCAGGTGTGTTTGTTTTAAATAAACCAATAATCTAAAAAGCAATAATTTTTAAAATTTAATAATAATTATTTTTTAAACTTAACATGAATTATTTTCTTTAGGGGTTGGGACCAGAACAGGCAGCCCTTGCTCAATCACAACATTTTGACCAGCTAGAAGCTTTATGGAATAAACGTTCCCCTCCTCGCCGTCGTCACAATCAGGTAGTAAAGAAGTTCTGTGCTGTAATATCACTTTCCTCTTGTTTCTTTAAAAAATTTTTTTTTTTGTATCTTTCCAATAGGATACATACAAATACAGCTATTCTTACCAAACAATTTTAGGACTGTTCAAAATAGGTTATATTCTGTTATTTCATTACTTTTCATCATAGTACATATATTTCTAAACTTTGAAGAATAATGTGAAAAAGTGACCTTTAATTATCAGGAGCTAATTATCTGGCCAGTAATTTTATTCCAATTTCATTCTTTACTTTTAAATTAAACAATATATTAACTAGACTAAACCTATTGAACAGTATGCTTTGGTTAAGATTCGTGACAGCATAACCATAATGATCAGAGCTTTAGCTCCTTTCCAAGACAATAACAAACTTAATCATTTACATTCAAGATCACATTGTTTTTTCCTACAGCTTGGAAGTCATTTATGTGTTGACAGAGCCGTTACTCTTGTACTTCATGTCAATCAAATATCATATTGAATTGAATATGAATGACATAACATTTTTTGCAGAACTAGTTGGAATCCAAGAGGTGATAACTCTTGTAACATATTATTTGATGAGATAATATTATTATAATAATTTTATGTGAAATATTATTATAATTCAGTATTGCTCGTGTGAATACATGTGTGACTATTTTTATGACTTGAATTCTTTTTGCATTGTCAGAAATTTTTTTAAAATTCATGAATAGCTGGTATATAACTTGACCGTTTTTATTACGTCTCATGCATGTTGTTTATTCCAGTGATTAAATAAATAAATAAATTAAAAGTCAATGAAGGTACCATCACGTACTCACATTGCAACATTTGATGTCTTTTATTGGCTAGATGCCCAAGAAAGGAGTAATATCACATTTGCAGTTCAGAAGCAATTTGAAAACTAGACTTTCTTAGAATTAGCCGTATTATGCACTTGTCAACCAATGAGTATGGGGATACTATTTGATTCACTACATCTGAAAGTAAAAAAAATAGACTTTTAATTAGTGATCAATAAGAAATAATGAAAATTACAATGAATGTTGAATAAAAGTAATGAAGCTAACAAAAAACACTACACAACATAATTTAATAATGAATTACATTAAAAAACATTCCAATTGATGAGTAAAATATATTAGTTTGTTTAATATTTTAACAATCTGTTCTATTTCTTTGCAGTCGCTATCCAAACAGAACTCACGATCCAGTCGACGAGATTCTTCTGAGACAGATGAACGTACTCCATGTGAGGAGGTTGTAGGTGTGTGTCAGCCTTGTAACGGAAAACATTCCAAATCACCTGATCGCTTGCGCAGCAGAGATCCACGTCTTACTCAGTCCTGTATAACTCAATGACAAATATTTTACTTGAAAGTCAATTTAGTATAAAACATGAATATTGTGCCATAGTTGTAGTTCAATAAATTATGGCAGTTTGTTCATGTTTTTGGCAGTGCTAAATTGTTAGTTTTATATATTTTAATTAATTTTAATAATACATTACAATCAGTTGTGAATGACCCAAGTACTTATTTGCACAATTTAATCTACAATTCAAAGAATATCACAAAGTGATAAAGAATTATTGTTGTTAGTAGTACACTACCTGGTATGATTACGAATAAGCTGTTTGCATTCTATATCAATGTCACACAGAGAGAACTTCAAAATATAACAGTAAGTGGTTTGTGCAGAGTTGTAAAAATGTTTATATTGTACATTTATTGTGTAAAGTTATAGATATTTTTAAAAAATATATGTTTTGTTAATTTTATTATTTTTTTTCTTTTCATTTACAATTTTTATTTCCTTGCATGAAGTTTTGAATTGTTTCAGAAATTTTGTTTATTAGTTTAGAAGATATCCAAAAGTGAGTATAAATAAATTTTGTTTGGTTTCATGATTGACACTTCTTTTAATTCTGTGCATTATTATCCAATAATTTTACAATATTTTTATTAATTTTTTGATTTCAGATCTTCCAGGAGCATGAATGTGATGGAGGAGACAATTCGCCTTCAGGCCTATGCCCACAAAGATCATTTCAGTGCAATAATATATGGCTTCATACTCTTAGTGGACTGTCTCCTGTTTTTACATTCCCAGCCTTCCTCTTCCTTGTTGTGCCCTACCTATTCTATAAGACTGTTACAACAAAATGTACTATGATGATCAATAATATGATTGTTGATTCTACTGTAATATGTTTTTATTTTTGAAATTTTTTATTATATCCCCAATTCCAATTTTGAAATTATTCCTATTTATGACAAATTAGTGTTCATTTTCTGAGTCAATGATTAATTTTAGGGACCAATTATTTGTTTATTATTCACCTTTATGGCTGCAGTTTAGAGCAAGGTACAACTTAAGGAGACCGGCACTTCGCGCCGCTACTGTGGGGAAATCTACGGTGGAGGGGGACGAGGAGTGATTAGGGGTTAATGAGGGGAATCTTTCGGTGGGGAGGGTAGTGAGCAATGTCCGTCACGTATAATGAGCAAAGCGTGGGCGATCTACATAAAGTATAAAATTTACATTACTGAAATAATTTTAATGGTTCGTAATTGGTCACGAATGTGACGTCAGAAGTTAGGGGAGGTAATTTTATCTTGGTGTCCTGTCGGAGCTCAATTGTCAAGTAGTGTTGCGATCGTGGTGGTGTGCCCCTGAGATTTTGGGAGTCGGAGTAGCTCTCGAAGTGTTTAGCTACATTGCTGTCGTATAGTTACGTTTCTTGTGTCCTCTGATTCTTTGTTATTTAAGTTTTGAGTGTCGAGAATTTGTGCTACGATGTGAGAATAAATGTGTTTTTTGAAGCGTTGCGCTGAAAGGGATTTTTGGCTGTTCTTAATTGAGCACAAGATCGTGGTTTGATTGCTGCAGTATTTTTACATGTCCTGTTTGTAAGTTTCCGATGAGGTTGGTAAAGGGAACGAAGTTGTGTGATCGTGTCGAGTGACACTGCTGAAAGAAAGGTGCCACTTTTGCGCATTCTGTGCGGCGAGGTCAACTGAGAGGTTTTGTTGTTCCTTGAGGACGTCTTCAAACTTAACGTCACATAAAAGTGGCCTATCGGTAAGTTTTATTTATTTCTTTCATAGCGCTTAGCGTAATTTGAGAGAGGGCTTAAGGAGATTCCCCTCCACCATTCTTTCTCCCTTCGCTTCAGACCACTCGGTTTACAATACCTGATTTTGTAACACTGTGGTTTCCCTTATGGGCGGCTCCACACTTGCGGCATTAGGCGAATTTCGAGCAACCGCTCGAAGTTGTGTGAACGGGTTGCTCTCTATTCGCCGAGCGCCGAACTTTCGGTATTCGCCCGACCCACCGCGTGTCGGTGTTTAGGGCTCATCAAAGGAGCGAAGAATCGCCGAACACATCAGTTGTTCGGTAATGGGTGAGCAGTAGCTCGCTGCTCGGCGAATGCCGAAAGTGTGGAGCCACCTTAAGAGGGGTTCATCCGTTCCCTATGTTCTATTCTGCTGCAAGGCCAATGACCTTCGAGTAGGTAGCCTTCTGAGGATAAGGGTACAAGTCACGTGTCTGATTCGATTTCGCCAACGCATCTGCTATACAAACTTCGGCTTCAATAATTCCATTAATTGGCCTCCAGGGGCGGTTGAATATGGACTTGGCGGAAGCAGTTCAAATTATCTTCACCGGGGGAGTTACATTTATAGCAGTTAAACATTTTATTAATAGGGAGAGGATTTTTTGCCCTTACATTTTTAAAATATGCTTTTGAAAGTATGCATTTATGATTTAAAAATTCTGGAATATGCACTTTAATATGCAAAAAAATAATCATATTTAATTTTTCATAATCTTCCTGACTGTGCCAGATAAATAATTGAAGTAAATAATCACACAAGTAAGTAAATTGTATGTCTTGTTGCATTTTTTCTGCCTGGTTTAAAAAATGTAATCTCAAGAAATATCCTAAATTTGCACAAGTATGTTATGATCTATGGAAAAGAAAAAAAAAACGCAGACTGTGGCAAGCTCTTTCTAATCGGCGAACGCTCACAAATAAATACATTCTATGAAAAGATGAAACGTTTTAGAGATATACTTAGCTTTTTATTTCTTAGCGCGCTAGGCCTTGTCCTCACGAATCGCATGGTATTTCGCGACTTTCTCAGTTGTGCCGCTAGATGTCGCATGATCGCAACGGTATCGAGCAGTGCTGGCGATCATGCGACATCTAGCGGCCTTCAAATCTAATCCATGTAACAGCCTTCAAATTGAAACGGGGCTTCCTTCCCTTGGATTTACTACGCAAACTATTACGTATCAACTACGTATATTCAACCTTCAGTGTTCCACCTAATCGAACAAGCAAATACATCTTTAATTCTCCAAAATATGATATTTATCGAACCCATCCAAAGTACTCAAGACCGCTCCGAGAAAGACTACTTGAATATCATAATAAAATACACGTCGAAAAACTAAAACTACTATCTTTTAAAGGCGTCCACATCACATTTTCCGTGACAATTCTTCACTCCTCCCACAAACTTGGAGGCAAATAATCTACCTCGTCCAACTAAAACTCACAGGTCAATGCTTCGGCTATTAATAGCTAATCTGCATCAAAAGTATAACTACAGAAAATTCTACACTGATGGCTCAAAGCTAGATGGAATATCGAGTTGTGCTATTGCCTATACTACATCCATCACCGTCGACTCCCAGATTACCAGATAACTTTTCCATATTTTGCTGGAAGCTTGAGCAATCCAATACACTAAAATTAGTTCACTCGATGAGGGCCAAAGGTTGACCAGGTTCTGGTGGGGTCGGTCGATTCCCATACGCCCACATCATTAAATACCAGGAAATACCCCCTGTAATGAGGCATCCCGACAGAAGAGCTAGGAGAAGAGCAAGCAAGAACGGGGTATAATCGGCAAGTCCTGTCTCTCCTCCTCCCCGTAGTGACCCCTGGGCAATGCTTGATGGAGTGAGAGTCCAACAAATACTGAAAGAGAGGTGGGCGAAGGCGAGTCTCCGGTGCCGAACCACCAGGCTAGGTGAAGCAAAACCCAAACAGAAAACCAAAAGGCAGAAAGGGCTCTGTAGGCGAAATGAAGCCAGTTCTAAAGGAGACAACCCTGACAAAAAAAGACAGGTCCTCCAAAGTGACGGGGGTTAGATCTAGGTCAGCATCCTATTATTGGAAAACCTTAACTGTTCGTAAATCTCAAATGATAGAAGCCGGCTCCACTATAAGACGAACAAGGCGTGTTAAAAGGACGAAATCATTGTTGAATAATAGATCCTGGAATGTCACCACAATGCTGCAGCCAGGAAGAATGCAGGATATAGTAGAAGCGATAATGCAAACGAAGATAGGAGTTACAGCATTATAAGAAAGATGGGAAGGAACGGGAAAAATAAAGAAAGAGAAATATTCTATTTACTATAGTTGAAATAATGAAGGAGAGGCAAAAGAGTAACTAGATGTATGGTAATAAAAGAAATAGAGAAACCGATACTAGGTTTTGTACCATATAATGAAAATCTATGTAAATTGTGAATTAAAGGGCATTTTATAAGCTGAGTCTTATAAATATGCGCCCACGGAAGATAAGGGCAGAGAGTATATATAGTATATATAAGGATAAGGAATAGGAGGAAGTCAAAGAAACATTTTACAAAGAGTTGCAAGATAAGATCGATAGAACTCCAAAACTGATATTATGATTGTCCTTGGATATTTTAATATGCAATTAAGGCTTGAGGACAGATACAAGGATGAAATAGAAAAATTCACCATACATCAAAACACTAATAATGTGTGATTATTTGGCCAATTTTGCAATAACTAACAATCTAATTGTGACAAGTACACAACTTTAACATAAATTAGTACCCAAAGGCACAGGGAGGACCCTCTCCGAGCTGCAGTTAACCGAATTGATCATATAGTGGTCAATTCGAGATGTTCGACACTGATACAAGATGTCCGCTCAACGAGAGGACCGTATTGTGAAACAGACCACTTCCTTCTTAAAACAATTGTGAAACAGAAACTGGTAAAACAAACATTTCCTAAATCTAATGTATGCATATGGAATAAACAGAACATACAGCACCCAATAAAAATCAAAGAATATCGGAATGCATTAAGGCATAAACTTGTAGAGAGACCTAGAGAAGAGAATATAGAAAGAGAATGGGAAAATATAAAAACTAGAATAGTAGAGGCTGTCAATAAGACCTTTGGGAAAGAGAAAGGAAGAAGAAGAAACGAATTGTGGGATGAAGAATGTACAAAAACAGCTCAGGATAAGAATAAAGCGAGACAGAAAACTCTAAATATAAGAACTACAGTATCTATTGAACAATATAACATTAAGAAGAAAGATCAGAAACTCTGTTGAAGGAAGACAAGATTATGAGTTGAAAATAGAATGGCCGAAATAGAAAAAGCAAGGGAAAAGAATGAATGTAAGAAATTTTATAAAGAAATAAAGAACTACACAGCTGAACCATCAGAGCACATTGGAGGCTGCAGAGATTTACGAGGTAATTGTGTAACTGAGAAAGAGGATACTTTAAACATCTGGATGTTACTCAATCAAGACCTTCTTAATAAAAAAGTAGATACTATTGAACCTAATCAAGACAACAGAACAAACGGAAGGTCAAGATACAGAACTGTATGTTATTTAATGTTAATTTAATAAATTTTCACACATAGAGAAGTAACTGAAGTAATAAAGAAAAAGAAAATAAATAAAGCTCCAGGTTAAGATAATATC